TTAATTCTTGTGTATGATATTGTTCCATTCTTTATCATCTTCGTCAGTTTTTATATTATTTTTATATTGACGTTTGCTTATGAGTGTGTTTTCATTTTTTATTTTTTTTTGTATGTTCATTTTGCCTCCTTTTTTTTACTGACCTTTCCGTGTTGTATTTTTACTTAACCTATATCAGTGTCCCTTTTTGTGTCTGTGAATGGTGATGTTTTGTTAGTCTGTTTATCTGTATATCTTTCTTTCTTTCTTTCTCTCTCTCTGTCTCTTTTTGTTCTAATTCTCTTCTTTACAAATTTCTCTTTTTATATAATCAATATATCTATTTATCTCTCTTTCTTGCTCCTCTTATGTACTCTTTATCTCTGATTCTCTCTCTACGTCCCCCTCTGTTTCTCACTGTCTCTGTGTCTCTTTCTCATCGCTCTTTCCCACCCTTATCCAATCACTGGTTCCACAATACATTCCTGTTTTCCCTTCCTCCACTCCCTTCTACTCATCTCTCTCTCTCTCTCTCTCTCTCTCTCTCTCTCTCTCTCTCTCTCTCTCTCTCTCTCTCTCTCTCTCTCTCCCTCTCCCTCTCTCTCTCTCTCTCTCTCTCTCTCTCTCTCTCTCTCTCTCTCTCTCTCTCTCTCTCTCTCTCTCTCCTCCCGACACCTCACACAGCTGCGAGGTATTAAATCCTTCTCAGAAACTCTTTTTTTTTCGGGTTTATATACACGAGAAAATATTCCTCCGCTACCGACTCTTTAAAAACCTGTCGCAAGATGTCTTAACAATACTGACCTCTCTTGTTAACTTTGCTTTAAAAATACTCTATATTACTCATTGAGAGAGAGAGACCAAAATTCCTCTAAAAGTGAAAACATTTTAAGTAACAAGTTCAAAATTAGGAGAAGCTGAAAAAGAAAGGGATTTTTTTTGTTACCTAAGCCTCTGTTAAAAAAAAGTCTTATCCTCTTTTTAACCTTTTTTTTTTTAATTAAATTGTTGTATTTGTTGGTAGGAAGTTTACAGGCAAGAAGTTAAAAGAAAATTCCCTGCGTTAACAGAGTTTACAAAATAAAAGGATTGAGAGGTAAATAACAGGTAATAAAATGGTCCTGATATAAAAGCCTTTTTTTGTGGTGGTGATTTAATGTAGAGATATACATTTATTCCCTTGAAATAGATGGTACAAAATGTGTATAGAAGACCAGCAAAACATATATATCCCGAACACCAATATGCAGTAGGAAACAGAATAAACAAATAAAATATGGTGTTACCCCCAAAAAAGAGAATGGAGTTTCAATAAAAGTAAAAACGTTACTATAAAAATAAAATTAGTGTTATACGTAATTAAATAACAGAATTGAAACACTAATATAAAAATTTTACAAAAAATAAGAAAATATAGTTACTAAACTAAAGCAAGGGAATTAAAAATTTAAACAAATTAATTATTAAAATATGGAAAAATAAATAAGTTCAGAGTATTAGGATTGATAAAAATAAAAATAAAAGCATCGAGTTAAAAAGAATAGATATTATTTCTTGGAAGTAATTTAATATACAAAGATCTATTTGTTCTTTGAAAACATTGAAGCGATTTTCTAGACAGATAAAAAACAACAACAGAAATATTCCGATAATAAAAATAGTCTATCAAATTAAAATAACAAATATAAAAAAAATCAAGTGAAACAAACGTTTTGAAGAAGTGGATCAAAATACATTAGAATAATTGTTTTCTGATGGCAAATGAAGTCGAATCAATAAACACAATAGAGGAGAAATAACAATAACTTCTGAACAAAAAGTATACAAAAAATTACATAGAATAAGAATGAGACAAATGGTTTCCTGTCATATGTTTATTGAAATAATGTAATCTGGTGTGTTTAGTTTACAAACTACAGTACTATAGCTGTGGAAAAACCATAATACTATAGCTGTAGATAAACTAGAGTACCATGGCTGTAGAACAACTGAATTACTACAGCTGTAGAACAACTATAGCTGTAGATAAACTAGAGTACTATAGCTTTAGAACAGCCAGAGTACTACAGCTGTAGATAGACGATGAAATAAAATATTCTGGCTGTAGGCAAAAGAGAAAATAGAGTAATATAGCCGCAGGAAGAAGGTAAAAAAATAGTTCCTCTTCAATACCGCACACGAAGGCAGGGACAGAAGAGACATAAGAGGCTGCTCCATTTATTTCTGTCTCATGTATGTTTTAATATATACATAAAATATATATATATATATATATATATATATATATATATATATATATATATATATATATATATATATATATATATATATAATTGACAGGAAAGGGGGACAGAAATTCAACATAAAATATATATAGATTTACATGAAAATGGTGTGAACATTTTGTGAGGGTTTAATTTTTCTTTACTATAAAATAGGTTTGGTAGTGGTTTGTTAATCTAGATTCATGTACTGTAAAACCTACTTTTGGAATTAATAATAATGGTTGCCCCCTCGTGTTACAGGATGGCTTGCGCTAAGACCACCGAAACGTGAATTTGTTTAAGGTGTAGAAGCTGTCGGGAACACAACAAACACACCCCGTGTTAACGAGCTGTGTGTGTGTGTGTGTGTGTGTGTGTGTGTGTGTGTGTGTGTGTGTGTGTGTGTGTGTGTGTGTGTGTGTGTGTGTGTGTGTGTGTGTGTGTGTGTGTGTGTGTGTGTGTGTGTGTGTGTGTGTGTGTGTGTGTGTGTGTGAAAAATAGACAGAATATAAGAATAAAGGAAAATAAAACGGAAACCAACACAGGCTCCAGAAAATAAAATATTAAATAAAGTTACGTCGTTGAGGCAGGAGCCATATTGCTCACTTCCCCTGCCAGCTTTGACTTCATCCTGGTCCAGAACAGAAAAAATAGAGGAAAAAATGAAGAAAAAAGTAAAGAAGGAAAAATGTTGTGTCAATTTTCCTGGGTAGAAAAGTAAGAGTGTTTCGTTGTGGGTCATCTGGAGGGAACAAGGTAATCTCAACCTTTCACAAAGCTTTCTGATTTATTACAAAGCCCCTGCCACTAGGAAGGCCCGGGGGAGTGTGATTATTGTGTGTGTGTGTGTGTGTGTGTGTGTGTGTGTGTGTGTGTGTGTGTGTGTGTGTGTGTGTGTGTGTGTGTGTGTGTGTGTGTGATTTTATATTTACCCAAACAAACACCCACATAAATACATACTGGTACCTCTACTATAAAACACACACACACACACACACACACACACACACATACACACACACACACACACACACACACACACACACACACACACACACACACACACACACACACACACACACACACACACACACACACACACACACACACACACACCTATATATCCACAGAGTTATAATTTCTCTAATATTACAAACACAAACCTCTCCACCACAATGTCCACCCAATATCCCACCCTCCAAGCAGTGCAGCAGGAACTGACAAATACCTCAGCTGTAACTGCAGCAGGAACAGCAGGCAGTAGCACAAGGCACACACACACAAAACATCACGACTTAACTGACCAGAACTAATGAAAGAGAAACAAGGGGGAGAGAGCCAGGCAGGGAGTGAGGGTCTGTTTACCTCCAACCCACCAACTGCCTACCAACCCGGACCTACAGCACCGTAAGTAGATATGAGAACACGTAGAGAATCCCTGCCTGAACTACAATACGTCATGTCTAGTAGATTATTATATTCGATGAATCTGTTGACAAATTTAATTGATATAGGTCCTTAATTATCATATATTTCTGAAAGCTAATTACGTACAGTGATTTTCTCGACGAATAATCATGTAACGTCTTCCTGAGCTCTCTTATCCCTAGCAGGTTATCATATAAAATACTGTGATTTATATATCACATATTTTCATCATCCATTTACGCAGTACTTTAATGTAAATGGAATTTCTTGCACATGGTTAAATCGCGACAGTTTAAATATGGACTGATATCGTTGATTCAAGAATACAATAAATTGACACGACTGTTAAATTGGCAGCTCATTTAATTTCTTCGTAATTTAGTTTTTTTTTATCCACTTCGTGCCCCCCCCCTAAAAAAAATACTCTTAGGTTCTCGAGACTCGAAAGTTTGTACGGTACTTTTTCACAACCGTAACAGGAGATGTTAACACGCATACAAATGGGTCACTTATGCTGTGCCACAAGGATGGGAACGACCAAAACTGTCTCGATCTGAGACTCTACTGCGGCTTCATGTTGATTGCTTCATCCTTTGCTGGTAGGAGGAGAGGAGGTGGTGAAGGAGGATAAGGGAGAGGAGGAAGAGGTTGTAGAGGAGGATAAGGGGAAGAGGAAGATGACAAAGGGGGGAGGGGGAGGAAGGAGGCAGAAGAATCTAACCAGAGAATCTTTAAGAATCTTGACCCTTAGCTCTCTGGGGTAAAGCTCAACTACAAAAGATTTACCCGAACCATCAACTTGCTGGTATACTGTATACACAAGGGGATTTCTATTTAATCTCAAAATACACACACACAAAAAAACTATCATTCGTTAGTTAATAATATATATAGATAAACCTATAATTTTATGTAAAAACTTATCCTAGTTTATTAGAAGCATTATTTAAGAGATATTTATCAAAATGTTATAATTTTTTTTTTTTTTGGGGGGGGGGGCAATATCACTCACGGATTAGTTATTTTTACCCCTATTCTTTAGTGCTATTTTTAAGTCTTCCAAATGTTTGTCCTTCTATGTTAATTATCAAAGTACAATACAATTTGTTCTTAGATATCCTCATGTAAAATAAAAGTAGCAATAGTAGTAGTAGTAGAGGTGGTGGTAGTAGTAGTAGTAGTAGTAGTTATAGTAAACATTAGTTACTGTAATGGTAGACGTAATAGTAATTCCAGTAGTAGTCGTTATAGTAGGGAGTAATTACAGTAATAGTAGTAGTAATAAATTTAACAACAATAGTAGTCATAGTAGCAGTAGTATGAACTTACCGTAAGTGGAACAGCTAGTGCCAGAGTAGCAGGGAAGGCACTCGCAGTTACCATCCTCGTCACAGATGCCGTGGAAACACTCGATCTCTCTGTGGAACAAAGAGGAAGGTTAAATATGTTAGACCAATACCATGTAAATGATGGAGAGAGAGAGCATATGGTCAGTATCGGAGGGAGAGAGAGTTTACATCACGTCAATGCTATATCACTGCCAAACAGACAAACAGACACATAGACACACCCAGAGTCAATATAGAGTTAATGATATTCACCCAGACGAAACTAACGCAGATAACAGATGGGTTGGCTTGTGTTATTCCTGATGAGATTGGTGGGCGTGATTCATGGGCGTTGGTGGCTTTCGTTATGGGTACGGATGAGAGAGTGGGTGGAAGGCATTATTGGCCAAGACTTATCAATCTTTCAACCTGTCTGTTGCCTGTTTAGCTGTATGTGTATATACCTGACTTACACAGCAATTGGATTTATCGGCATATGGATAATATTGTTGTTAATAATAATAATAATAATAATAATAATAATAATAATAATAATAATAATAATAATAATAATAATAATAATAATAATAATAATAATAATAATAATAATAATAATAATAATAATAATAATAATAATAATAATAATAATAATAATAATAATAATAATGGTAATGGTAATGTAATGGTAATAATAATAATATTAATAAATGTTCCTCAACCCCTCTATTACTACACATACACACACACACACACACTCACACACACACACACACACACACACATACACACACACACACACACACACACACACACAGTCCCAACCATTGTAAAATTATCAATAACTTGTAATAAACCAGTGTATTCCTCCCAGTAAATACTACTTCTTGCACTGTCACTATGTTGAAATTGTAGTTTGAGCTTTTCCCCATCTAGCACTTATTTGGTTACGAATTCGTAATATCATTGCAAGAATAGTAACACACACACTACCACCAATGTTCTATGCACAGGCGATGAATATCATTGAGAAAGTCTACGGTCTTTACCACCCATGTTTCATTAACTCTGGTTATGTAAGTTACCTTTTCACACACACACACACATTGTTACGACCGTGTCGTATTTTTCTATTTTTTTTTATATATAACATGCTCCCATGTTGCTCCATATTATTCCTGTAATGATGTGTTAAATTTACTATTATATATTCTAGTCACCTTACCCTGTGCTGTTAAGGCTTTTAACTGTCATTATTTGTTCAAGCCCATCTTATTTCTTTATTTAGTATTGTAACAAGTATTCTTTGTTCTCTAACGACCATCTGCATCGTTCAACGACCCACCGGCGGGTTGCCTGGCGGGAGCCGACCTTATATATAGGACCCACCAACTGACAGAGTTAGTTCAGTCCTCTTGTCATACAGTCCACATCCTTTGAGTGACACTCGTCACCTGTTATTTACACTTAATTTATTTGTGTTGTTCCTGTCGCCACCAATGTGGTATATCTATGTGAGTACCTATTTATGTCTCTATTTATGTCCATCAGTATTTGCTTCGTTACATTTAAGTAGTTCAGTGTTGTTTCACGTTAGTTAATTTCAGTGTTAGTTTATGCAGTGTTCACGTAATCCAATGCTTTATTTTTATTCTTTTGAGGTTTCGATGTTTAGTATCATTTGTGTCTTAAAAGTTTCGATGGTGAATCAATTTGTTGTGACAGCCTACGAGGCTCTTTATTGTGTTAATATTTAATTAATTAAATTCTTAAAGGTTTACTTTATTTATTTTTATTCCCTTTTAATTTACTTCACATTTTTGTTTAGTTACGCCTAGGACCTGGATATTTAAGTAAATTAAGAGACGGCGTAACAACACACACACACACACACACACACACACACACACACCTCCACCAATGTTCCTTGCACAGGCGATGAATATTATTGAGAAAGTCTACGGTCTTTACCACCCATGTTTCATTAACTCTGGTTATGTAACTTACCTTCACACACACATCATCATCATCATCATCAAAGCTAATTTGCCTGTTATTGTTTCTTGTTCTTGGGAATAGATAAATACCTACATCTGTATATAATAACTGTTTTATACTTCTGCAGATTTATAGGTAATTTCATAGTTGGAGAAAAGACCTGAGGGAAAAATATGAATATTTTATAATCTTATTTTCTTGGTGGAGTCGGTTGTCTGGTGGGAACTCAGGAGCCAGCATTCTTGTCCAGCACTAATCCAAAGTTTAGGTCGACTTGGATGGGCTGAGGAATGCATGAAGTTGGTCTCATCGGGGTCGCAGCTGCAGCTGACTTGGGCCACAAAGAGGAGTGAATCTCGATTTGTGATCTGTCGTAATTTTATCTGGATCGTAAAGGGACATGATGTTTTGCGTGGGGCTGATGTGATTTGCTAGAATGACATGAGACGTGGTTTCCAGGTATATGATTTGCTTATTATCAAGTCCATCAAAAAAAAAAACACGATCTAATACGTGAGATAACTGTGATGTGGTTGATTTAGAACAGATGAGGTTACCAAGTACAGCTACAAAGTCACTTCGTTTAGTATATTACAGGATTCCTTGTGTGTATTTTGCTGAAACTTACAGGAATATAAGTTTCGATGTCTGATCTATTGAATCGTATTAGATACTTAGGATGATGCAATTTGACTAATACTAGTTTAATAATGGGAATGACTAAGAACGCTACCATACTGAACATAAATCCTAAACTACTTTGATTTTATGAACATACACGTCCTAAAACATGTACAATTATCAGTACTATAGATGTGTATGGTTGGGTGTACTGCAGTGTGTGTCTCTTGGTCTAAATTATCTTTCTCTATACAGCACTTCACTCCTCTTCCTTACTTATAGAACAGACTGTTTCATGTAGTAACTTTCTCCAGCATCTCTGAACTAACTTGTTATGCTCCAAACTAAGTAAGACAAGATTAAATTATATTATTTCTCTACTTTTTTTCATTCTTATCTTCTGTAGTCATTCACGTTTTTATTTCAATTTATTCCTGATCCTATACATATGTTACTCGGTCAGTTTCAGTTGATAACCAACTATTTCAAATTGAAGTGAACTGCTCTGCAACAGACATGGAAAGCTTTTTGCTGTGTAATAAATATGTATTTTTCGATATCACGGCAACACTGAAATCTGCATACATACATATATAACCCGGATACAGCTTTTCCATATTTCCTTGTGTAATTCGCCATTTTTATTGACAATAAAACACCCGCTCAACATTATAATTTTCAAGCTCGTATGACCAACAACATGAGAATCTAACATTATATTACGTTTTTGATTTACAGCAAGTTCCATCTCTATTATCAAAGTAAATGTTAAAATAATTTGGAAATTATATACCAGTAAAATATTTTGTAAGTTGTATCTTTTGTGTATCATTTTTATTGATCATTGTCTGTACATTATTTGGTTTTTCTTGTATCATTGTGTTGTTTACCTTTGCTTGATTCTCAGACGACGAATTTGTAGTCTGTTTTTGTTTCAATATTGTTTACTGCAATAATAATAATAATAATAATAATAATAATAATAATAATAATAATAATAATAATAATAATAATAATAATAATAATAATAATAATAATAATAATAAAAATAATAAAAATAATAAAAATAATAATAATAATCATAATCATAATCATAATAAAAATAATAATCATAATAATAATCATAATAATAATCATAATAATAATAATAATAATAAATAATAATCATAATAATAATCATAATAATAATAATAATAATAATAATAATAATAATAATAATAATAATAATAATAATAATAATAATAATAATAGCATGCCAAAGGTGTTACTACACCCTGAATCGATAGAACATCACTTTTAACTGATCTCTGGAACTGGAACCCAAAACTAATGTGCTGGTATACAGTGGTAAGTTATGTTTGAAGTCAGTCAGGTTTGGTTAGACGTGACTTAAGTAAAGTTAGGTTAGTTTAGGAGTAGATTAGTTTACATTACGTTACATCAATTTAGGGTTAGACTAAGTTTAGTTAAGTTAGCTTAGATATGAGATAGGTTAAGATTAAGTTAGAGGTACGTTAGGAAAAGTTTGGTAAATTAATTTTTTTGTGTTAGGGTCCAAAGGATTCCTGTGTCCGATGTGATAAAATTTTACATCACTGACGAAAAACACAGTCACTACGTTGTATCAAAACAAAAATACTGAAAAACATAGAACATAAACAAATCAACAACAATAAAGTAAACACATTTCAAACACGAGATTCCAGACACTGGATTCCAGATGCCAGATTCCAGTCTTCAGATTCCAGACAACAGATTCGAAACAACAAATTCCAAATACCATATTCCACACTAATTCCAGACCCAAGATTCCAGACACTAGATTCCAAATACCAGAGTCAATCTATCATATTCCAGACAGATTAAAAAATACCAGACAGCAGATTGAAGAAAGATTTAAAGTACCAGATTTCAGGGAACAGGTTAGCAAGAACCAAATTCTAAACCTCAAATTCCAGGCACCAAATTTCTGGCGGCAGATTTCAGACAACACATTCCTAGGAACAGATTCCAGACTGGGAGGAGTATTGGGCGGCCACTAACACAATATATATAGTTATGGGGCGTGACTCTATTGCCATCCCGGCCACCCCATGTAAGCCACTCGGCCACCACTGTAAGCCACCTGTCCACTGCTGTAAACCGCCCGGCCACCACTCTACAGTTAGCCATTCGGCCAACCTTGTACGCCACCTGGCTACCCATGTAAACCACCCGGCCATCAATGTAAGCCTCTCGGCCACTACTATAAGCAACCTGGCCACCACTCTAAACAACCCAGCCACCATTGTAAACCACCTGGCAATCACTGTAAACCACTCAGCGACCATTTTAAGCCACCCGGCCGCCATTACAAGCCACCCGGCCGCCATTGCAAGCCACCGGGCCACCTTAGTAAGCCATCCGGCCATTTGGGTGATCAATAGAAATTCAAGCCAGTCAGCCACCCTAGTAATCAGATCGCCAGCCAGCCA